CATCGCCGCCATCAAAGAGTCCGCCGCCGTCGAGCTCAAGGTCTCACCTTTCACCCAAAAGCCCTCAACTTTTCTCTAAATTCGCTTCTATTTTAACAAATAAAATTAGTTGTCAGGAGCAAGGGAATCAATTTGTGAAGAAGGGGAAGAAGCACTACAAGGATGCGATCGATTGCTACACGAGGGCTATCAATCAGAAGGCTCTGAATGATTCGGAGACCTCGGTTCTGTTTTCGAATCGAGCCCATGTGAATTTGATGTTGGAGAATTATAGATGGGCTTTGAATGATGCTGAGGAGGCGATTAGGCTGAGTCCTTCGAATGTCAAGGTAGTAAATCTTGCTAAACTATGCTCAATTTTTTTGTGTAATTCAGTGTGTTTTACACATAAAGTTTGCCCCTTTAGCATTTTGTGGGATGGTATCAGTAAACGAAAACTCTGGATGGGGTTTGTCATCTGAATTTTTTTTGCCACTTTGGGTAATTCTGTTTATATAACGTATAAAGTTTGATCCTTTACCAATTCCTAGTAAGATGTCAGTAAAAAAAATTCGGATTAGATAATTTTGTTCTAAACACAAATTTATAAAAGAATTCACAAGTATATCCTTTTTATAGATAAAATCCAAGAAGTTTGTCCTTTTAAAATCATCCGTGCAGCGTTCGGAGTGGCTCTAATACAATGCTGAAGTCCATGCACCAATTTTCATCTACTAAAACCAGGCATAAAAGGCTAAGCATATAGCAGATATCGGCTTACATGTCTTAACCTCTTCTTGGTGTTTATTTTGAGTCATGCTAACGGGACTACACTTTTGTACAACTCTTATACTTCTGTTAGAATGACAACTTGGATCCGTTTAGTTCACATATAGACCATGGTACGATACACAAGAACATACCCCGACATTTGTACATGACTTGTAGTTTAGTTAACATTACTCATGTGCTCTTAAATGTTTATTGATTTCTGTGAGTAAGATTTGGTTTGTTCAATTGATTAAGATATTAGCATACAAACTTGTGGGGGCAGGCTTACTACAGAGCAGCAAAGGCTGCATTTGCTTTAGAATTGTTACCTGAAGCAGACTCCTACTGCCAAAGGGGTCTTGAAAATTTTCCCTCCAACGAAGAGCTGAAGAAACTATTGATACAAATTGATGAGCGGAAGAAAAAAGATGAAAGTCACAAGGCTCAAGTTTCAAAAGCTATAGCCGAAGCTAAGGTTTGTTTTTGTTTGCATAGACAAAATTATCTTTGAATTTTTTGTGTATTATGTTCCTTATAATTATGGAGTTTTGCAGGAACTTGCCTCTGCCATTGAGAATAGAGGGATAAAACTTGGGAAGGCAATGTATCAGGAACTTACTGGAGTGAGAAAACCATTGTTAGATAAAAGTGGCATTCTTCACTGGCCGGTTCTTCTTCTTTATGCCGAAATTATGTCGAGTGATTTCATTGAGGACTTTTGCGAGACTGATATGTTCTCTTCTCATTTGGACATGATATCCTTTTCTTTTCTGTAATCATCTTACAATGATTATTTCATGATTAATACTACTGGGAGAAAGTATGGACGTCGAGACATCCTTAATTTTCAAACATGTATTCAGATAGTTCCCCTCCATTACCATGGGATGCAGAGCACAATTATACTCGTGAATCCATTGAGTTATATTATCAGGTTTACATCTAATCTCTGTTACTGTTCTAATTATTGTTCTAGAGGCATAATAGGATAAGTATTAATATATAAGGTTGGCTACTGGCATTACAGGATGCATGTTAAATCTTATCCCTTGTGCATATGTTACATGGAAATCTGAAGAAAGCCAGCACTGTTGCAAAAAACTCCAAAAAGCACGATTTTTTGGTTTATGAATTTTTTAAAATCTTAATTTTCTATAACAATGTAGAGAGTACCCTTATGGTGGTTTTTGATTATATGTATCTACATCTTCAAAATCAATATTTATCTACATCTTCAAAACCATATAGAACTGTACGTACCAAGATTATTTAAAGTTAAAATAAAGGATAAAGCTACGATATTTTAAAGTGAATTCTGGGCTTCCTAATTGCTTGTTCAGTAATTTGCTGAGCTTCTTATATACTGAATAATTGAATCTTCAGGCCCATAGCGGATTTCTTCTGTCGAAGAAGAAAATTCTTCAACATCTCCTTGAAGGGACTGTAGCTTCTCTTGCAGAAGACCTTTGTGATGAAGAGGAGGCAGGACGGCAAACATTGAGTATGTAGTCACGTTAATCTTTTAGTTAGAAATGACATGTTATACTTTTGTGGTTCTCTTGCTTTTCATTTGTTCCCTGTCAAATTTCCGTTTAGTATACTTATGGCAATCCATGTTCTTTATCATTACTTATAATACGTCAGTGTTGTCTGGGTACAGTTCTTTCACTTGGAGTCATACACTGTTAAGGTGTTCAGTAGTAAACATATATGAACATGTTTGGCAAACGGTCAAAATGGTTTACAAGCCAGTTTGAGATGATTGGCAAATGACTTATTTTGTCTTATAACACTCGAAAAAATAAGCCAGGGCACCCTAAGTTTTTTTTTTTTTCTGTGGGTTATAAACCATGAGGTTTGAACCCAGTAAAAGACAATTATACACCTTAAGATATTACAAAATCCAAGGCCTCATTTAATAGCTCACCACCAACACCATTTCCTTTTTGGTCAATTTGACAGTGATGGATCAAGGATATAATCCACTAGTTTGCCAAACACTCTACTATTAAAATTAGATTATAATACACAAAAATATTTAAACACTCTAGATTATAATCCAAGTATAATCCACTTGGATTATAATCCATTTGTGGATTAGATTATAATCCAAAGTTCCCAATCATGGTGATTTGAGATACAACATATATTCTAATAAAATTTGAATAATATTAAATTATTACCAGAATAACAGCAACACACAGTAAGAAATTAAGAAAGAAAAATAAATCCTCATTGTGGATTACTGTTTAGCAAAGCCCATTCTAGATCAACCTCACTATGAAATCTAATGCATATTTAAGTAACTTAGAGTTCTCTTTAGAGCAACCTCAACAAGTATTTGAAAATGGGTCCTCGTGATAACTTAGGAGTTCGAGAGCTAATTGATTGGCAGCCTCTTGATTCTAATTATCAATGCTTTGTTAATATTTGAAGTGTACTCCTTTCAGTTGGCTCTTATTGCCCGTTTCCAAGTTTATGACCTATAGTTTTGACAATATTTACCTTTAATTCAGGCAAAGGTTCAGGTAAATGGATCAAGGTGAACGAGAAGAAAACCCTGCAAGCTATCCTGCGGCAACCTGATTATATCATTCCTGGGATCCCAGGTTCATTTCTCTTACTGTTAGCAGAGTAGTTTAATCTATGAACCCCCTCATTATATAAATTCCTCTTGTAATATACATTTTCTTTCACTTCTGCAGTGTTCTTTGTTGTCTCCAGCAAATCTAGATTCTACAAGGAGTTTAAAGCCGGCAAGTGGACCCCACCTTGAGGATGTAAATTTTGATAGCGGGTCGATATTCTGTGTATTATTTAGGTCTTGTTTGTTATGGTCAGGCTCCAGATTGTAGGAAGAGGTCATCTAGTGCAGGACATGGTTTGCTTGTGCCAATGAACGCAATTTGTGGAGTAGGATTGTGAGGATCCAATTTATACGACTCTTTGCTGTATCAATGGGAGCTGATTGTTTAAGAACATCTAAACTTTTCATCAGATTATACGCAATTCCAAAATTTTAGCTTAACTTCTTTTTTCATTTCCTTTACCGATCTGTAAGTATGAATTTGTTGGTTTGTTTTAGACAGGCTAATTTGGTTAACGTCTACAAATCATATGAACATACTACAATTAAAAGTTTTTTAAGAAGACAACTTCCAGATTCATGCAAAAATCGTTTCTCTTTTTTTTCGTTTTCTTGATTAAAATAGGAGTTCAAACTCTATTAAGCCCCTGTGGTTTCATCTGCGAATCCATTAAGCCCCCGTGGTTTCATCTGCGAATCTATTAAGCCCCTGTGGTTTTTTTCGACTCTATTAAGCCCCCGTAGTTTTATCTGCGAATCTATTAAGTCCCATTTGAAATTCAAAGCACGGGGCTTAATAGATTCGCAGATGAAACTACATGGGCTTAATAGAGTCAAAAAAAAGAATGAGGGTTTAATAGATTCGCAGATGAAACCACATGGGCTTAATAGAGCCGAAAAAAACCACAGGGGCTTAATAGATTTGCAGATAAAACCACGGGGGCTTAATAGAGTCGAAAAAAACCACGGGGGCTTAATAGATTCGCAGATGAAACCATAGGGGCTTAATAGAGTTTGAGTTCTTAAAATAGGGTCCCTTAATAATATCAAGATGCTGGCAGCATTAAAACCCAATTCTTTTGTTTCAAAAGTGAATTTTAGGCGGCAAGTAGCCTGCAGCCAAGGACACAACGATCTATTTCCCATAAAGACATCATCACAAAACCAAGTGACTTAACTTCAGTAACAACCAATTTATTGGAAAGTTAAATCACCAACAGCTAGATAAGAAGACGTCCAAAATCCATCGAAATATCCAACACATAACCCCAAGTATATATAATATCTTCTGTTCCATTAAATGAACTACAATTTAAGCACAAGGCACAAACGATAATGGGGAAGCAAGAGAGGTGACATTCCTAAAACCACGTAGACAGCTTATAAGCACAGATCAGTTCACAAGTGCATCTCAAGCACGCACCGCAGGCACCCACCTTCATGCATCAGATCAAAAGCCTTGTTGATGTCCGCAAGCGTCAAAGTGTGTGTGATGTACTCATCCACCTTGATTTCCTGCAAGAAAAAAATCAGCAGCATGGATCAGTTACTACTCTCTCCAGTTTTATAACATGAATGCATCATGAAGTTTCGTTATCTAAGTAATTTCAAGGCAGCCAAAAACAACGTGAATGACAAAGGAGTCAAACTTCACTTTGAGGTATATTTAAAGCAGCCAAAAGCAGATGAAACAGTAGGTTCCCTGAGGTAGGGGGGTCAACTTGAAAAAAAAGAAGATATCTAATGTTGAAAAAAAAAATCTCTGACCATCAATTCTCAGAAAAAGGCTAAATTGCCAATAACCCCCTCATGTATACCTTAGGTACCACTTGATACGCTCAGCTTGTTAGCTAGCACTTATCAATACTCAACTCAATGGGGGAGAGGAGATTATTAGCTGCAATACTCCTCAAAATACTGACCCTGGGGATTGATAAGTACTAAGAAACGAATTTAGCGACAAGTGCTATTGAAATATAGATGAGGGGGCCTAACTGCAATTTATCCAAACAAAAACATCAAGTAGTTTACCTTCTTCATGTACTTGTCAACAAGCCATGGAACTTGAGAGCGGCTCTTGAACCCACCAAAAGCAGTGCCCTTCCAGACACGGCCAGTGACAAGCTGGAATGGGCGTGTAGATATTTCCTGGCCCGAAGCTGCGACACCTACAATAACTGATGTCCCCCAACCCTGCCAATGTCCACAACCACATCGAGGAATCAGGAATTTTTTAGAAGATCAAAATGGTTCTTCAAGGGAATACTAGAGGTATGATAAACAATTCTTACAAAATTTACCCAAAAATTAGAAAGCAATAGTTAATCTGAATCTCGGCTAATTATTTCTTTTTTCAAACAGCTCAACAAGTTTAGGATAAACCTGCTGATTAAGTATATATATTAGACTGTCTTTGCCTGAGCAATAAGAGCAAACATCTGAAGATTTTTTCAAACTTCTGGTGCTTATGTGTCAGTACAAATCGTATAGATAGGTTAGTTTCACATGATAACATGAAATAATGGAAAACTATCTAGATTCTAGACTAACTTAAATACTTCCACCCAACGCTGTCTTCATTTTTTTACTGCTATTGTTTGACCAGTTAATTTGTTTTCTTTGTTAAACTACCACAAAGCACAAGCAACTTGGTACATAATGAACTAAAATTAACTCTGAAATGCCAGCTGAAATGAAAATTTGAAAGCAAAACAAAAGAAACAAAAGAAACAAAAGAGAAGCAACTATTACCTTATGACAGCATTCTAGGGCAGACCTCATAACAGAAACATTTCCGATGCATTCAAAACTGTAGTCTACGCCTCCATCAGTAAGGTCCACAATGACTTGCTGAATTGGTTTGTCATGGTCTTTTGGATTTATGAACTCAGTAACCCCAAAATTTTTTGCTACAAAGAGTTTTAAAAAAAAAATGTCTGTAAGAATTTCGAATAATGCAATATCAAGGAGAAAAAATTATATAACAAGACAATTTTCGTAGACTTTCAAATCTAAATGTTACTTGTCACTGTAGATAAAGATATTATTGAGAAATTCACATTCATAATACAAGATCTAAATAGAAAATTATTATCTTTTAATCTTTTCTATTAAACAACACACATTCGCAACATAACTGTTGACAAGCTACTATTAATGTGTGATTGCTACTCATCTACAAAGGAAACACAAGTGTAAACAGAATGGACCATTTCGCATTCAAGAAATTGATCAAAGAGCTCAGAGTTTATAAGCATTTTGTTCTCCGAGATGATTATGGGCATACCCCTGTCAAATTTTTTGCTGTCGATATCTATACCGATGATACGAGAAGCACCAGCTGCTTTAGCCCCCTCAGCAACCTATACTCCCAATGAATTTAGAATGAGTACGTACTTCACAAACTAGAAGCAGCAATAACAGTGTGGTATGGCTAATCATAGCAGCCTAACTTACAGCAAGTCCAACAGTTCCAACGCCAAAAACAGCAACAATAGAACCCGCTTCCACCTTTGCTGTATTCCAAACTGCTCCAAGACCTAAGAATACACCACATCAGATTAGATGCAGCTAGAAAATGCAACCATAGACAGAGCTTTAATATATAATTAGCATGAGACATTGGATTTAAGATTTTACAGTAAAATTTAAATCACTCGATGATGAGCGTGATTAGAGAATACATAAAGCTCTCAGGAAGATGACATCCAAAAAACAATAGTATAATGAAGTAAACATTATGTTAAAAACAAATGGGCATAATTCAGATGAAAAAAAGAAGACAATAACCTGGTGCATTGAATTTGAGACGTGTCCTGGCATCCTCAACTCGAAAATCCCACAGGTCAAAGGGCTAATCACTAAAATCCTCGACTAATGAACTAGAGCATGAGAGATGCATGATTTTGATGTATATGGTATCCAAATAGTTTTATTGAATTACATGTTAAATTGCAAAAAAAAAATCATGGAAATAAGATAGTTTTCAACCAGAAATCTTCATGCCAAAAAAATAGTTAAAGAAATCCAAATAATTGCTATTTCAACAGATTCTACTTATGCAGTTGCATATCGACAGTGCTAGTTAAACTTTCATCATGTTAATATGCTATTCTTCCAAAAAAACGACAGGTGATGTGAAAGCATAGGGGAATTAGTAAAACTCTCTTAGCATCTCATAAACATTAACTTGCAAGAAGGATTTGTACATTTGATTTGCCTCCCTTGATATTCTTTCCTCAACGAGTATTGTCTTTTGAGGACTCTCTTGTCCAACAAAATATAAAGTTAGAGACAGTAAAACAAAATTGCAGAACCAGCACATAGTATTCTGACTACTGGGAACTGGAAATGAACATGTGAAATGGAATATTATTGTCCAGCAATGTACTCAGAGAACAAGAGTAAGGATGCTATGTAGCCTAAGAGATATTCAAAACCAAAGGTGTTAAGGTTCCGGAGGGCAAATTCAAATTTAAAATGAAAACAACAATCAGTACATAGATGATAATCACCTGTTGGCACACCACAACCGAGCAAACAGACCTTCTCGAGAGGGGCCTGCGGGTCAATTTTTGCCACACTAACATCGTGGACAACTGTGTATTGACTAAATGTAGATGTTCCCATGAAATGATAAAGAGGCTTCCCCTTTATTGAGAATCGACTCTTTCGGTCATTCATCATGACACCAACGCCAGTAGCTGCCCTAACTTTACCACAGAGATTTGTCTTCCCGGATTTGCAAAACTTGCACTCTCTGCATTCTGCTTGGTAGCAAGGTATGACATGATCTCCAGGCTGAACTTCAGTTACTCCTTCACCAACACTCTCTACAATCCTGCGTACATAAAAAAACATCAGAAAAGAGCAACTCCAAGTAGTTTCTAATATTAGTCTGCTTTGGTAAGTAAATACCCAGCAGCTTCATGACCAAGAATACAAGGAAAGAGCCCCTCAGGATCCTGCAAATTACATAACAGATCATATATTACTCAACTTTAACCCCATTTTTACAGAAGTCGAGTCACGAATACCATAGAGATATGTATGAATCATCAGAAAGAAGAAACCACAGAATCATAATTTTGCAATGAGAAGGCTTAGCAGTAAGAATATATCACATTATTTTTACTAGACCAAACGCGTAAAGAATTTTCTTACTACAAAACCTCTTTCAATATAGGAACTCAAGCTTTATCAATATTGAACATGAAAGTTAGCAACTTCCAAAAGATTACATTTTTCAGTCATTGAGGGAAGTATATTAATTAGACCGGCATCACAAAGCAATCAATTTGAACGAGTTTTAGTCAAAGACTACTCATAACCAATTAGATAACTTAAACAAAGAAAAAAAATCTTAATAAACAAACTTTTTAGAGTAAAAACCTTCTGCCTCTGCTCAGATAAACCAATGTTAACTAAAAATCTTATTACTAACACCATCTTTGTAATCAACACCTTGTACAAAAAAAGAGAAGTCACCATTCAAACTAATAACAGAATCCAGATCATTAGATCGGGGACATCTCAGTAATTAAAGATAATAAACGGCTAAAATACCACTTTAGCCTATAAAGTGACACCTTCTAACCAATAAGACCTAAAACGTGACGCCCGCGACAATAACACTTATAAACTAACCACTTAAACCTACTCCGGTCGCAGGAGTTTTGGTTTGACAGCGAAAAGTATAAAATTTTGCATTTATACCTCTCATATCTCTCACACTTACATATTTACCCTCTGAAATTTAAAATATTTACAAAAAAATCCTCTTCCTCTCTTCCCCCTCACTCCCTCCCCCATCTCCCCCCCTCCCTCTCTCCACCATCTGTTTCATCCTCTTCTTTTCTCCTTTCTTACTCCCTCTCCTCTTTCCTCCTTCCCAAAATCCTCACCTTCACCTTCTCCTCTCCCTCCTCCACCCATGTTACTCCCCTTAACATCTCTCTATTCTCTCATCTCAGTCTTCTCCTCCCCTCCCCTCCTCTCCTTTCCTCCCTCTCCTCTCTCCCATCATACACTAACTTAAAAGTGGAGAAGGGCGTGGAGGAAGTGGAAGAGAGATGTGGAGGAGGAAAGTGAGGGGAGTCGGAGAGAGAGTATGAAAAGAAAGAGAGATTTAGGTTTTTATGCAAATATTTTAATTTTGATGATAAATTTGTAAGCATGAAAACTTTTTAGGTCAAGTCTTATTGGTTAGAGAGTATCACTTTATAGGATAAAATTGTATTTTAGCCGATAATAAACTAATAAAATTCACATAATCTGACTTATACAAATCGATAAAATAACAACAATTTAGAAAACCCTAGGATCAAGATATATACTATAAATAGTAAAGAGAGAAAGGGGAAGAAGTTCTGAGACCTTGCCGCTCCAAGTGTAGGCGTCGGTGTGGCAGAGAGCGGTGTAGAGGATCTGGATCCGGACCTCGCCGGCC